GGGCCCAAGCCCCGGGGTTCAGCCCCAATCCCAGGCCCCTCCCTTGGGAATGGGGGCGGGGCGGGGCCTCGGCGGCGCGGTTGCGTGGGCGGAGCATCTCAAAGAGGGACCAATAGGAGTGGAGGCCCTGGTCTGAGCGGCGTTGCCATTGGGCGCGGCGACGAGAGGGGGCGGGGCGCTCGCGAGACTGGTTACGCCGAGGGAAGCCCGGACTCCGTAGTCGCTGCTCAGAGTCCGTCTCTCCGCAGATTCCCGGCCCCGCAGTTCTCAGATCTCTGTAGCCCGCGGTTCGCCGCCTCGCTCGCCGCCGCGATGCCGGTGTTTCATACGCGCACGATTGAGAGCATTCTGGAGCCGGTGGCGCAGCAGATCTCGCACCTGGTGATCATGCACGAGGAAGGCGAGGTGGACGGCAAAGCCATCCCTGACCTCACCGCGCCTGTGGCCGCCGTGCAGGCGGCCGTCAGTAACCTCGTTCGGGTGAGCGCGCTGGGCCTGGGATGGGGAACGGGGGCGGGAGACGTCCCTGGGGTTCCGGCTCGCCTTGTGGTTCCCCTGCGCTGCCTGTGGCTTTGCCGGTGGGCTCGGGAGCCAGACCGCCTCGGGTTTGAATCCTGACGACCCCGCGTTGTGACCTTGAGCAAGCCCCCGAGCCTCTCTGGGTTTCAGTTTCCTCACCTATAAAATGGGGGCAATCATAATAATGCCTGCCTTGCGGGTTTGTTGTGAAGATTCAGCGAGGTGGTATTTATAAAGTGGCTAGCGCAGCTTATGACCCATAGTAAGCGCTCAATAAATGACAGGCGTTAGGATGTCTGATAGCCCCTTTCCCTCAGCAGGCTGTCGCCCCTCCCGTTGACAGCCTTGCTTTCAGCTCCTTTTTAGGCCTCCTCAGTCTGGCCTCTGGGCTGGCGGGCCCCTCTGCTGATTCCCTGACTTTCCTTCCAGGGATTCTTATTTAAGACACGTTGTTCTCCTTTCTAATACTTCTGCCCCTTACCTTGAAACCCGCCTCACCCACCTCTGAGCCCTCCCCAGAGCTCCCCGCGTCCGGCCCTTCTGTCCACTTGTCTTAGTGGCCACTCGTCCCTGTCTCCTCCTTTCCCGGGCATTCTACCTCTGCTCACACCTCTGGCACTCACAAACACCGGGTGATCTCTTTATACAGTAATTCATGACTACGAATCCCTTTTCCCCTTTCGCTTAACCCTGTTGCCTTTCATCCCCCTCCTCCCCCTCCAACTCCCGTGGAGATTTCCACCTGGCTTTACCTGCTGTCAAACGGCTTCCTCCCACTGGGGCCTTTCCAGACTCGGGGGCCCTCTTCGTCGGCCCCTCCTCCTGGCAGGAAGCAAGATGGAGAGGCCTGTGGAATCTGGGATCTGCGGCCCCTGCCGGAGAAAAGAACGGGGCGTCTCCTCCTCGAGCCACAACTTTCCTAGATGGCTAAGTGGCTCTGCAGACCCCTGTAGCCCACAGCTGTGACTAATAACTGAGGTGAATCCTGGAGGAGGCGGAGTCCACTTCTGAAAGGGGAAAAGAGGTGCTGTGACCAGTCTCCTAACACTCTGCTGGCTAATATCACACTTTTCTTTCCCACCCTGGGTAGGTGACTCAGACTGCTGCTGCCTGTGGGGAACAAATTTGGAAAAATTTTATACGGCTTCCCCACTGAGCTGTGTAACTAGTGTGTGCCAGGGTAGTTAGGAGCCTGGTAGGCAACTGTGGGTCTGGGTGGGGCTTGGGTTCCGTAACTGTTTAGAGCACTTTAGCACACTTCAGCTGCTCAAAGTCTTCCTCAGTCTTCAGGGGCCCAGTTCAGGAGACAGTTCAGGAGACTGGTAACTAGGAGAATGCTACTGACCAAATTCCCCATCTGCCTTCTGTGTAGATTTAGTTAGACTGTATTCAGGAAGAATACTGAATTCATTCAAAATGTCTACTTCTACACTGTTCTTGTTCTTTTTATAACTAATTTTAATCTAAGACTCCAGAGTACATTCTTATGTAGTGTTGTCTAACATGGCTGCATTCCAGGCCTCCATTTCTCAACAAATAGGAAACAATGTAAAGAGACAAGGTAATAGTGTCCCTCCAAGGAGTACTTCAGGAAATGAAATCTTAAAACCACATGTTGCACTTGGAGCAGAGCTAGTGTATAGTCTAGGGGCTATCTGGTTAGGCTATTTAGAAAAAAGTTATTTATGAGCTTCAATGCATGAATTAATAAGAACTGAATGTCTGCTATATAGGGAGCAGTTTAATAAATCAGTGGTTCTTAGGTTGAGATGTGTATCAGAATCACCAGTGGGGCTTTTTAGAAATAAAGATGTCCAGGTCCCACCCCAGACTTACTGAGGAACTCTTTAGGGGGTCAGGTCAAGGCCTTTGTGTTTTTGAGAAGCTCCATAGGTGGCTTTGATATAGTCCCTTAGTTAGGAAACACTAATAGATACTGTGAGACAAATACCAAAAAAATGAGGCCATTGATAAGCTGAAAACAGAAGTACATATAATTGCAAACTTCCCAATACATTACAAAAGAAGGGACTTGAGATTGGTGGTACATAGGAGTTAGCAGAGAGAAAGTGGGGAGGGTTGTGTTGATAAGTAGTTAATCATGAACAAAGGTACTTGTGAATAAGTGACTTCCAGATTACAGCAAGTAGATTGTCTTGCTTAGCTCGGGAGGCAAGTTGGAGAGAAACTGGAGATGAAATTGGTGCATGCCATATGGGCACTTTAACAGAAGTCCAATAAGATGAACAAAGAGAATGGAAGGGATAGTATGAGGACAGTGTGTGAGGGAGACTGTATAGATTGTGTTCTGGGGAGGCCCGAGGACCTACCCATTGCTTGGAATTCTGGGTGTCAGTTGTGGCCCTGTGTATATGCTGCTGAATATTGTCATGAATTGTGTACATGTATCAAGTTCCCAACTAGATTGTGTCTGGAGAACAGGCCTCGTATGTGCTTCTCAGTTCCTACCCTCAACATTGGCCCATGGGATGGCTTGATATTGTTGAAGGAAAGAAGGAACTATGGGAAGGAAGATAAATTAGGAGACTTTTAAAATTGGTTGGTTATGAGGAAAATGAGGGCCTGGACTTTGGGTGTGGCAGGGAAAATGGAGCAGGAATTAGAACCATATTAGAAATACAGTAGAAGAAGAATTAGTAGAGCTTGATAATAGAACTCTCAGGAAAAAAACACACGGTGCTACTATAAATTAACGAATCTGATTTTTGAACAAATATTCTGAAATTTATACAATTCAGGTTTCTTTTAGTTACCTTGGGAGGCTATATCCTTATTCCAGTGCTTCTCTTTGGGAATTTCTTACAGATTATTTACATACATATGTCAAATTAATTTGTTTTATTTTGGTCAAGAAAATTTTGTCTGAAGTGGGCATTTTTTAACCCTACTACTTTATATACCATTCTTTTTTTTTTTTTTTTTTTTTTTTTAATTTTATTTTTGGCTGCGTTGGGTCTTCCTTGCTGCTCGCGGACTCTCTCTAGTTGCGGCGAGCGGGGGCCACTCTTCACCGCGGTGCGCGAGCTTCTCGTTGCGGTGGCTTCTCCCGTTGCGGAGCATGGGCTCTAGGCGCACGGGCTTCAGTAGTTGTGGCATGCGGGCCCAGTAGTTGTGGCTCGCAGGCTCTAGAGCGCAGGCTCAGTAGCTGTGGCTCACGGGCTTAGTTGCTCCGCAGCATGTGGGATCTTCCCGGACCAGGGCTCGAACCCATGTCACCTGCATTGGCAGGCAAATTCCCAAACACTGCGCCACCAGGGAAGCCCTATATACCATTCTTGAGTCTAAAGTGACTTTTGGATATTTCCAAAATTAAAATTTACCAAGTGATGATGAAATTCTGAATTGTTAAGCTGTAGTCATCCACTTATGAGGTAGGTATTTATTGAGACACATCCCTTCTAACCTCAAAGCAATAAGTATGATATTGGGCAGAATAAGTATAATACTGGATTGAAGGTCCTAAGTGGCCCGGAGAAAGTGAAGTATCATGGAAGTTCAGAGGAAGGTAAGGTTACTCTTCTTGAGAGCATGGGGAAGGCTTCATGGAGGAGATAACCTCTGAGCTGGCCTTAAAGAAGGTGGGATTGGAACTTTTAAAGACATGGTAAGAAAGGCATTACAAGTGGAAAGAATACCTAAACAAAGGCATAGGTTTATGGAGAATCTGAGGACCAAGTTTTGACTTAGGAAATCATTAAGCAAGACTCATTTAGATTTGTAATTTTTCATGTGTATTTGCTAAACAAAAGTAGCCTCGTCACTTTATATGTATCATCACAATTGAGTCATCGCTTTTACTCCACCCTTAGGGGGAGGGTAGGATGGGATTATTTACATGGCCTTTTTTCAACTGAATAAGACCATTTGTTTATTTTTATTTTTTAAATTTTTTTGCGGTATGCAGGCCTCTCACTGCTGTGGCCTCTCCCGTTGCGGAGCACAGGCTCCGGACTCGCAGGCTCAGCGGCCATGGCTCACGGGCCCAGCCCCTCCGCGGCATGTGGGATCTTCCCGGACCGGGGCGAACCCGTGTCCCCTGCATCGGCAGGCGGACTCTCAACGACTGTGCCGCCAGGGAAGCCCAAGGCCATTTTTTTAAAAACAGCTTTGTTGATATATAATTCAGATACTATACAATTCACTCATTTAAACACTCAATTCAGTGTTTTTTTTTTTTAGTATATTTACAGAATTGCACAACATCATTACAGTCTAATTTTAGGACAGTTTTGTTCCCTCAAAAAGAAACTTCATACCCATTACAGTCACTGATTCTCTCCCATCCCCCAGCACCCCAGCCCCAGGCAACCACCATTCTGCTTTCTGTCTTTGTGGATTTGCCCTTTCTGGACATTTCATATAAATGGAATCAGAAAATAATGTGGCCTTTTGTGTAGGACTTTTCACTTAGCATAATGTTTTCAAGGTTCATCTGTGGTGTAGTATGTGTCAGAAATTCATTCCTTTTTGTTGCTGAATAATATTCCATTGTATAAAATAAGGCCATTTTAAACGCAGAGAATGATTCTAATGCAGTAACAAAACAAGGAGGGGGCCTAGGAGAAAGATGGATGGGAAGGGAAAAATAGAGGAGAGGTTCAGGTTCCAAGGATGGGATTCAGTCAGCAGTGTGAAAAATTCAGAAGTCTTAGACTGTCTGTCTTGTAGCATGGTATATAAACTTTTCTTTTTTCCCATTGGAGTGGCCCATAGAAATCTGACAGTCTTTGTGACCATATAGTCGTGCCAGTTTTATTAATGGGGGTTCATACACTTTGCTTTCTCCATTGCATCTGAGGGCACGTGTTGTAACTACTCCTGGGGCTCATGAAATATTTATTTCGGACGTTTTTCTGGCCTTTACTTTTATGAGCCTCACCCATATATCATACCCTGTTGGGACCAGCTCTGGGACAAATAGCAGCATTGTCTTTTAACTG